TTGTATGAAAATTAGATAATGGAATATAGATTGAAATGTGCTATAATGTGGAATGAAGATTTTGATATCAGATCAAGGGAAAAAGGTATCTGGTATAGCACAATTCAGAGTCGTATTCCAGAACTCTGCTTAATGCGCAGTCCGGACTTGAATATGATTTAAAGCACGAGAAATCATACTCAAGTCCTTGCCATTAGGGTCGTATTTCCAGTGCTTGGAATCATACTCAAGTCCTGATTTGAGCATTGAGTATTACAGTTCTGGGATACGACTCTCAGTATCAGCCTCTTCGTTCACCTTGATTTGCAGAATGCGACTATGGTAGAAAAATAGTTGTCATCGCACTAAAGATGAGAATCGGATACGTTCTATTAAACAGTTTTGATTTCTTAATGAAAGAAAATACAATTCTCCTAATTGCGAGTTATGTGGAGTAGTGGAAGATGTACATCATTTGTTACTGAAATCTGGCACGAGCAACAGAGGGTGGCGTTGTTGAGAGACCTGCAGATTAACCGAACATCCTTAGGTGCTATAAATTGTATACCAAGGAATCTCCACACGAAACAGGCAAAGAGTCTGTTAGTATTAGTTGAATCGGTTTTCCACCAGCGCGCCGTTCAGGCATGTAAGCCATAGTTTAGGATACGATGGAACTGACACATATATTTTATAAAAGTTCCTAAATAAATAAAGATTTAAAAAAATAGGTATTCACTAGTATGACTAAAATACAGAATGAATATAACAGGAAAAATAAAACATTTTTTGTTATAGCAGTGAAATGGCGCTGACACAGCATATACATAAGTTCACCAAATGCGTGGTTTTCAGTCAAAACCAACGAGAGGGATTAAGTCTATGAGTTATTTGTAATTGAAAGGAAAGGAGGAGGGAAATTGTTCATTGATAATACATGTAACAAAGTATGAATAGTGTATCTAAAATAACCCATTCAATAAGTGTATGTGTGAAAATTATGTTTGTGAATATGTTTTAGTGTAATAAATCAAAGTAAAAATTTGAGGGTGACACAAATATGGGAATGAAAACTAATAGTAATAGTACAATTTCAACAAATTAGGCAGATTCTTGTTACGAGTAGGTGTTGCCGGTAAAGTGCTTTGAATTTGAGTTTATAAAAATTAGTAGTGGTGCGGCGGCAGTGCCATAGTGGCGCCACTGCACCGCTTCTATAAGCGTCCAATTTGAAGGCGCCCTTAGTTTTATTTTCCCCAGTTATCGGGAATTTAAGTACAAATGGTGCAATCATAAATTATAACGGGAATAGCCCGTTTACTGCGCTTGCGACGTACTCGAGACCCTGTTCCCGTGTGCGCTGCACATCTTGTATCATAAGTAAATCCGGCAGCATAAAGAATTGTCGCAGTTTCATTACAGAAATCCGCTTCTACTCCGTTCCTCGGTAATGTAAACTGAGTCTTACTGTTTACGTTTGTCGTATTATTTTGATATTCCTTCTCTTATTAACGATATTGTCTAAGAACATACTGAAAGATATGCTTTCTTACTTGGTAACTTCGGATGAGATTCTGAACTGCCAAGTGTAGTTTCACGCCCTCTGTATCAGTTTGCTTTTTCTTGTCCGCTGAAATTTCTGTGAAAAACATCATTTTTATTTTTCACATGTATATAGTTTCTTTTCGCTTTCGTACGGTGCGACTAACACCTCCGTTTAATAAGAGCGAGTAAGTAGAAGGGTTGTTACATTATTATTTTAGTTGTACAGGTTGTTGTTTACAGTTAGTTAGTTACAGCAAGTAGAGCTCCTTATGAAAGATTTCAGATTCAGATTAATTTATTTCTCAAATATAATATTACAGTATTAAATATTACCTAAACTCCATTAATATAAAAGGGTGTTTCAGCTTAATTAAAAACTAATATTCAAATTAATTTAAGTTTTGAAATGTTGAAATATTTTAAATACAATAAGTTTATACATTAGAAAGCTATGGTTATGGAAGAGCGGAGTCTCCTATCACAGGCATTGCTACGCTTAAAAGGAGACTCCTGATACTGTGATTATAAATAAACAGTAAAAGAAATAAACTTTTCATTATGTATTATTATATTATTATTATAATAATAAAACCTTATTAGATTAGTGTAAATTGCACTTCATGTCAAAGTATAAGAAATTATATTGAGATCGTCAAGCAAAAATGAAAATTATAGCAAAAATACACAACAATTAGAAAATTAACAATTATTAATAATAATATTGTTGCCATTAAATTACATATCACATATCATTTTCCATCAAGGATCGTTGTTAACAAATATACAAAAGTAAGTCAATGCGATAAAAATGAAAATAAAATAGAAAATACTCAATACCGTTACATTTTTAGGTCCGTAAATTCATTTACGGAGTATAAAGGATTTTCCAAAAAAAGATCTTTCCGTCGGCGCCTAAATGTTCCGTCAGATGGTTCAATTCTGAGAGTAGCGGGTAAACGATACGGGTAAGTAGTTCGTCCAGGATGTAGGTACTGCCACCTCGCCTATTTCTGCTGCTTCGCCAATTGTAATTTCACCAGCACACTTACCCTTCAAAACCGGAACGCAGTAATGCTCACATTACTGCTTGGCGGCAGAAATAGGTAAATACTTCCCTGGATGCACTCTTTCGCAAGGCTCCTGCTATACTATACATTATTTATTGCTACATGTTATGTATTTGTTCGCAGTGTGCAATCAAGAATATTTGCATTGTATTGTATTGATTAATGGCGCATGTGACGACCCGTGCTATGCAATGCGAGTGCTTCACGAGATTATGTGTACGTGTGCGTCCGTACACGGGGCACGGCGGACGTGCACACTTAATATTGTTTGTATGGCGCATCGAGTACATAACCAGAAATAGAGAAGAAATGTCATTTAATTTGTTTGAAAACCATTCTGCCATATCATTACTGTGACAACTGCGCTCCGATTGGCCAGCCCGAGTTCGTAACAATTGACGGGTGTCGTCAACTGTTTCACTTCAAATCGACCAGTTAACTTGAGCTTTGCTATAATGGGCGAAAATTGCAAAATTACATATTTAATATTTAATTACCGATGAAATGTGATTCCGTTTGTTTTGTAATTAGATGTTTTGCTGTTTTTCCCACACCACCGAAAAGAACAGCACGGCATTGTTAGAGATATTATCTTTGTTACAATAAATACAGAATATTTTTTGGAATATACGGAGACGTACACACAGGTCAGTAGTTGGCCTGTCCATATTTTAGTGCATACGGGAGTTGATATTTATAAGAGCTGTATCGCTAATGTGTTATCAGGAATATATGGCTCTTATTTCGTCTCTATTTCTGGTTATATAATCGATGGTATGGCGTTACCATACTTGCCTTAACACTATGCTAATACTTACAAAAACCAACACTTACCTGCCTTTTTAGGAGTGAACTCGTCCTCGTATTCATCTATCTTCAACGCTGAGCTCCCAACACTGTCGTAAAATCCGTCCCACGACTGAAACAATGATGACAGCTTTCACGGAACTTGTTTCAGTGCAAAGTGGTACAAAATTCCTTAGGTTACACTTGAAAAGGTTGTAAATCCTAATGAGCCGTGACCAGGTTCACGGCAACAAAATAGGATACTTCAGTCCGTAAAGAATTTATTCGTAATTTAATCGAAGGGGGAAAATAAGAGGCTGTAATAAAAAAGGTATATACTCGTATAAAAAACAGGTACAACGCTACAAAACACTCCCTATTTAAATACTAAATGTAAGGCAGACTTACCTGCCCCGAAAGGGCCGAGTTATGCGGTATTACAGATTGGTATTAAAACCGGCAGCAGAATCAAAATTAGACTCAATCGAAATTAGAGCAGTATTGTTCTCTGCCGCGATCGAGCAGGGAGAGGCGATGGAACGAAATAAAATCAAAATGGCGAGGCAAAGGAATTAAAGAACGATTAAATATTTAAAAACGTGGCCAGGAACCGGAGAAAACGCGATAAAAAGGTGCAATGACGATGTAAGGTCACACCCTTAGTATAATAAAGCCACATTCTTCTTCTTGTTGAGTCAATGACAAAAACCAATAAAAATAAGCATTATATTTCTTTGGCCCACTAAGAAGCCACCTCTATGCCCCTATCTGTTGCCTATAGCAGATCTTCAGCACAGTGGACATGAGAGCAAGTGAGATATACTTTGTGTGGGGAATCCGAAAGCATAATGGTTTCTGGTCGGGTTGATATATCCCCATTTCACCATATTGTCTCCACATCCGCCTGAGACGATTCAGGTACTAGCGGGCGTTACACAGACGCTCTATCGCGCGTGATACAGCCAATCATGCACGATTGAGCGTGCGTGTAAAATGTTGGAAGGAAAATGGAAAGACACTGCGCGTGCCAGTGTTGCCATGTGCACCGTAATTACGGTAAATGCACCGTACTCAGAATAAATTTGCCACCTACCGTCGACAAATGACAACGGTGACAAAATCTACCGTAATCCGCAGGAGCTGGATTTTTTTGTAGTTAAGGAGGTGCGAGATCGATGTGTGCGGTTAAATTAATAATAATCCGCTCCCTTTAAGGAAATCTTTTGATGCAGCAGTCTATTCAAAGGCATAGGCAAATATGCGTCAGTTTTAAGCCTGACGAGGAAATGTTGAAAAGATTAAATCAAATATTTATAAAAATGAAGAGATTGTATTTGATAATTGTTGTTTCATAAAAATGATCAGATTTAGACAAATTTTTACTAAGGTATTCCTATCCTCATTTTTCGAAATGTTCAGATTAATTTTTTAATTTTTTTCTTATTATAATTTTTATTCTAATTTTCCTTTGTAAGTAGTAAAAAGTAAATTATGCACCAAAATCATTGACTTACAAATAAATGGACGACGGGTCTAAAATATCCCAAGTCCACCTATTTAAACGTAGTGACATGTAAAGGAATATGAAAAAGCTAAAACGTTGAATTTAAATTGTAATGTCATCGCAGTACTGTCTAATTTTGCTTGCTTCGCTGTCAGTCGAACAAACGAAGACTAAAGCGTGAATGACGCTCTGTATACGATTTTAACGCCCTATAAGTTCGGACACTTTTTAGCGCGGACCCGACGTCCATATAATTGTAAGTCAATGACCAAAATGGTTTCTTTTTTACTAATATTTACTTAAGTTTATGATAAAGTAAGGTAATTAATTAACTTTCATAAAAGGTTATTATTACAAAGTTAAGTTACTTTTGAAAGTATATTACATATTAACTGCCTCCGTGGCCGAACGGTTACCATGCCGGACTGCCACGCACAGATCCCAGGTTCGATTCCCGGGCGGGGAGAAATATTTGTATGGCCTACATTTATTTCTCTCGTGAGTTTGGGTGTAATTTGTGATTGTCTATGTGTATGTCGATGGCACCCGCGACACAGGGTTTCCCTAGTGCGGGGCTATGTTGAGTGTGTGTGTGTGTGTGTGTGTGTGCGTTATATTATACCATAATTACACTGTTTTTTCCTGGCCCAATTACCGTAATTTCTTAGGATCTACCATATTTTACAAGCAGAAGAAGCACCGTCGGCCAGATTTTGGACATGGCAACACTGGCGCGTGCGCTCATCAGTCGCGCGCAGTGTTGCCAGATTAGGCGATTTTTCACCATTTAGGCTCCTTCGACTGCTGAGGCGACTCGGCGATATTTAGGCTATGTTTGAAATAAGAAAAGGCGATTTTAGACTAGTTACTTAATGAAATGTCTGAGGAATTATAAATTTGATTGGGGATTTTTTGGGGAATGGAGTTGTAAAATAACTTATTTGGGGGTTTGAGTATTTCCGTATTTCCACATGTGGGAAATTGGGGAAATAACAGAGTTCATATTTCCCCAATGTCCGGCAGCAAGCAGAATTCCCTTGATTTTTAGGGATTTTATGGCTTGGGCGAATATCGGCTACTTAACACATATAAATTGGCGAATTAACTTCGCAAAAATCTGGCAACACTGGTCTCGCGCGCGATCGCGCGTTCACAGGCTGTTTGTGTCGCTCTTCCACTTGTAATAAAAACGCACACGAGCAATCGCACGCGAAAAAACGTGGCAAACACACAGGCAATCGCGTGTGACTGCGCGTGCAATCCTACAAGCTCCTGATCACGCTCGATAGTGTCTGTGTAAATGGGGCTATTTCCATATTAACCACTGCAACTCGAGCCCGGGGGAAGACTTTCGGCTGGGGTAATTAGTAGCAGTGGAACTCCTTATGAAAGAGGTCGTCCAGGGAAGTACTATTTCTGCCGCCAAGCAGAAATGTGAGCATTACTGCGTTCCGGTTTCAAAGGGTTAAGGTTAGGGTGCTGATGAAATTACAGTCACATGGGACTTGGCAACTTATGTTTCAGGGGAACGCAGTAAAGCTCACATCACTGCTTGGCGGCAGAAATAGGTATTTCCCTGGACCACTTCTTCCATAAGCTCTAAAAAAGGTGAAATATAAAAAACGTTGTAATGTTAAGACTCACGGAATCGAGACTTCCTCTGTTACGAGCCCACTCCAAGTACTGGTTTTCGAGGAAATTTGCATTGGTCCCGCTCAAAAATGACTCTGCCTTTGACGAATGCCGCGTGGTAGGCTGACCATTCTGAATAAAAACATCGTTTGATACTAAAAATACGTCTTATAAGCAAGATAAGGTTGAGTTTAATCTTATGACAGCATGCTTTGCACTGTAAAGTGCTTATTACGTTTTGCACTGATAGATAAGAGGTTGCCTTCCATGCCGGTTAAGACGCACGCCACGAGAGTGGTTTGCACTTTAAACATTAATACTAAACTATTAATTTGTGTTAAAATAACATATTTTGTAAAAACATATTATGTGCAGCGTAATGTTCTTTTGTAAATTAAAAATATCGTATTCAATAACTTTAGTCATTATAGTGAAAAATAGGATGGTTTGCATTAACATGAGACATTAGAATTACCACAACATTGTTGACAATAGGGCAAACACGAAACTTGTTGGTGAACTTGAGCATCATGAGATTTCGCATTGCTACAGCCATCGTCGTCAGCACCTGTCTGATAAACAGCCAATGATGCTCAATAAATTTATGCTTTTCTATAATTAATAGTTCACTTCCAGTACAGTTCGAAAGTAAAATTTCTGTGAAAACTTGTAATGGGTTGTAACTATTTATAAACCTACCTAGTTGTTAGTTTCCCTAAAAATGTAAAATAAAATGAAATCATTTGCCTCGCTTTACATACATTCATCAAAGTTGGCTTGTAAATTTAAAAAAATCGTTGTTTTGTCTTGTGCTTTGGTTTGTAAATAAAATGACCTTCCCAATATCTGTAGTAGGTTAAGGTAGTAGGTATATATTTGTAAATAAATAAAAGTACCCAACTAATCAAAAGGAACTTACTTTCAAGAATAGTGGATGAAGTATTGTCCAAAAACTTCTTGCTTGTCGTCATTCACTTGGTATTCATTTTAAATTTTGTAAAATAGATAAATTATATTATATTGATCTAGATTATTAATAAAAACATTTAATTAATTATTTCATTTTATCATGACTTCACCGATGCTTCACCGTAATAAGGTTTTTGATTGCGATTGTATTTTGTTTACATCCAAATTTTTTGGCGTGAAAAGTTGTGACATAACACAGAAAGAGATTCATTGGAATAAGAATTTAATTAAAAATCTTTAACGTTTTTTATTTACCTGCTGTTTTTTTGCCCACCCAAATTTTTTTTTGTATAATAAGATCATTGCTTGCACCCAGTGATCTTGCTTGCATCTAAGACACCACAGAAATGTATGAGGGGAGGTTCAAAAGTTCAAAAGAGTTGTAAAGACAACGAGACTATAATATTACCTGTTTGATCTCAATACAATTTTTATATCTACAAATTAACTTTTCTGTCATCGGAAAAAATCTCTTCGGCCTAAAAACCTCTGGAAAAACGAAAAACCTCTGTGGAAAACCTCTGGTTCACCTCGGTGCATCACGGGTAATGTTTTCTTTCCGTAGTTCACCTCTTACGTATAAAATTGAAAAACACAAAAATTTGTAACTTCTTCATCGTCTCAGATTTTTATTTGCATTGTAGTTATTTTCAAATTTGAGAGGGAACAGCGCGTGTACGTTTTACTTGTTTTCTTAATTTTCTATAATATACTAAAGGTGCCTTCAACTTAAAACGCTTTAGAAGCTCTGCAGTGGCACAACTTAGTCCACAGTAGTGACTACCCACCTACTGCGACAGTGGCGCTGCGACTGCGCTACCAGCTATCGTATGAAAATTAGTAGTGGAGCCGCTACTGACCGCAGCAGCGCTTGTTATAAGTGTCTGTTTTGAACGCGCCCCTAATAACAGTCGAGGGTTAAGTGCGGGCTATAAGATGGGAGGACCAGCGATTCGAAATCACACCTGTGGTCCAAATCAAGGTCTTCTCCTGATCCTTTGATTGGTTTTTAAAGTATTCTATCTCTGTAGTATTCACAGCTTTAATTTAAAAAGGAAAAATAAAAAATATTGTCATTGGCTCAAACGCTATTCGCGGGAGCTAGAAAATTATAAAAAAAGAACGACATAAACAACTTTTAGGGCACTTTAAAATTAGACGCTTTTAAAAGCGGTGCAGTGTCACCACTGTGGCGCTGCAGCCGCACCTCTACTAATTTTCATACAATCATCCACTTGCATTAAGCATAAGTATGTTATGACATTGGTTTAAACCAATGCTTAAATTGATAAGATACTCTTAATACAATTATAAGTGTCTTTTGCATTGCAAGCATTGGTTAAAGATGTACCTAAGTTTAGTACAAGTGGATATTAGAAGCGCAGTTGCAATGCCACTGTCGAGATATGCGTACAGCACGGGCCACTTTTGTCGCACTTAGTGAGCGTCTAATTTGAATGTGCCCTTAGGCAAAACGCCCATTTAAATAAGCTTATTTAATAATGTGGAATAACAAATAGGCATATCAAAGAATAAACAAACCAGTAAAACAAAATAATTTATTTTTACCAATTTCCATCACAACATGATAACTGATATCACAACAATGTTGTACTAAATACGCGTTTTCTACAACAATGTACCAAACTTGAATACAATAGTTAAAAAAATACATATAATTTCATACCGCTTAATTCTTAATTCAAATGCTGATAAATCATTAACTAAAGCCATTGACTTACAAATAAATGGACGACGGGTCTAATACAAAAACCACGAAAAAAATGTCCCAAGTCAACCTATTCGAAATTTAAATTGTTATGTCATCGCAGTATCGCGCTGTCCGTAGAACAAATGAAGACTAAAGCGGAGTGTCGCGCTCTGTATACGATTTTAGCGCCTTACAAGTGCGGACACTTTTTAGCGCGGACCCGACGTCCATATAATTGTAAGTCAATGACTAAAGCGCACGAAATGTTTACCGCAATTATGTTTTCATTATTTGTATACTACAATTTAATTATTTAAAAAAGCATGTTCTTGTTTCTAATTACATAGTAAGTACAGGATTCGAGTACAGGTTTCTTGTAACTTTTGATTTATTCAATTAATCGTATCGTTTTTGCTCCAATTTATGTGACTGGCAAAATATCATCAAGCTCTATAACTGCCATAGCCCCGTTTTCGTTCTTTGACAAATTTCCTCCTCAATTAATAAGTGACGTATTCGGAAAGTAAAATTTTTAAGGACAATTAGGAAAATAATAAAAAAATAACATACCATATACATAAATATGAATTTTGTTAGATTTGAAAGGCATATATAGCTGGTGCTACTACTGTCTTTTCTTCTTCTTAATTTCTTCTTTTCTAAATGTTACTATTTATGAATAGTTACATTTAGAAAAGAAGAAATAATAATATCAAACTAATTATTGAAAAAAATTAGCATCGGTTACGTTTATCCATACTTTACTATCGACGTTGAATTGTTCTTTTTATCGAGTGGTCCGCTAGCACTAAAGTTGACGTCACGCAAATGTTTTTCAAGATTAAGGGTCGTATTCCAGAAGTCTACTCAATACTCAAGTCAGGACTTGAGTATTGGAGTGAGCACTGAAAATCATACTCAAGCCCTTGCCATTAGGGTCGTATTTCCAGTGCTTGAAATCATACTCAAATCTGCCCAAGTCTTGACTTGAACATTGAGTATGATTTCAAGCACTAGACATCATAATCCGTCGTATTTCCAGTGCTTAAAATCATTACGACGACGAGAACAACGAGTAGAGTTCTGGAATACGACCCTTAACTTACTTAAAGATTTTAAAGACTTCAGTGGTTATTGACTAAATGATTTCCCGACAGGTTGATTGACCAGTGACAGATGACAGCTTTAAGCCAGGTTTTCACTATACGAGTGCACTCGGATTTCTATAATATCAAGTGACGGGACGAATGAGTCGTGCGCCTGATGGTAGGTAAGCTACACGCCTGTCCATAACAATTGCAGTACCACTCAGAGCTTTAAATCGATCGAAGAAGATCTGAGGGGCACTGCCACTGCGCCCGTCACCCTGAGACATAAGTTGACAAGTCCCATGTGCCTATAATTTCACTAGCACCCTTAACACTTCTAAACCGGAAAGCAGTAATGCTAACATTACCGCTTGACGGCAGAAATAGGTAAGGTGGCAGTACTTCCCTGGAGGAACTCTTTCACAAGGACCTCTACTAAGGAGATTTTGGATTACATCTTACAAGTTTATCAGTGTCCAAGAAGCATTTGTTTCCTTGAACAATCAAGATGACGACGACTGATCTGCTGCTACGAGGTACAGGAGTTGTAGCAGATATGTTAATGGCTGAACTCAAGGAAGGGAAAAACCAAAGCAAGAGAAAAATTAAGACCAGAAAATGGATTTTAAGACGTGACTAATTGGGTGCTTTAAACAATTCTTGAAGTGGAAGATAAAAACACGTTTAAAAGCTCATATTGTGACGTTCATTTCACTTTTTCTTAGTTGGCGCCATTTTCTTTTTAGAAAATGATCCGAGTATACTCGTAAAAATCGCACCGTCTCCGAGTCCACTCTGATCGGATGCCAAAGTTCGAGTGCGCTCGGATCTCGTGTTTACACAGTAGCGTCCTAGTAGTCAACCAAGTGGACTAGGTCCGAGCGTATTCGTATAGTGAAAACCCGGCTTTAAAAACAGACATATCTCTACCCTCTTTCGCTATCGATGACCACTTTCATCTCGATTACTTGTGGCGTTACTATAGTCACTCACTTTTTTCCGACAAAACATATTCACTGTATCCACATGTGAAGGTGAAATTGAACCATTTTTTGTGGATTGACTGATCCATAACGCCCCATGATTATAGACTCAAGAGCCCATGATCATGGGGCGTTCCAATGTTTCGGAAAAGGGGAAAAGTAATAAGAAGCCATACCGCGGTTTTTTGTCTATTTTCTCATATCGAGTTATTAGGTTTTCGCGACTGTTACACATAGGAAATGAAACATTTTTTTCTGATATGAATCGCGTACATTTGCTTTTACAAACAAACCAACATTTCGGGCGTTTAGATCCGAAAAAGTAATTTCATTTCTATTTTTTCACATTTCCAAATATCGCATATGAAACCAAATACTGTGGTAACTCAAAATTGTGGAATTGAGAAATAACAATTCGAAAATTTAAAAAAATACTAAATGGATCTTATTGCGAATGATGTTATTAATTATTACTTAATTATGTATCTATATTATAGACAACACTTTTTCAATTAAGCCACTTTATTATTGAGTGTGGAAGAGTATTATTAGAGTCCGTCTTTTTTTTTTAAGACGGTGTAAAATGACATTCGCAGGGTTGCCAGTTTTATTAAATTTTAAAATGGTCATATAGTTGTTGTTAAGAGATTACTAATTGCGATATTGCCTTCTTTATTCCTACTTTGACCGTGCACCTACTAGTTTCGAAATGAATTTATATTCATATACATTTTAATAAGGACAGGCGAATTTGATTATCTATATTGAATTAAAATTATGTCTCCTATTTGTATTTTTTAATAGATATAATTGTAAATGTAGTGCATGCATGTATGTATGAACTTACAAAAAAGGACTTGTTACTGGGCACAAGTTCACTTCGATTGTCCATTTTTGTAACATTATTTAAACGAACCAGTCGATGATGATTCAAATCATATAAGCGTAACCAACATTCAGTCGATAGTCGATATAATGTTTATTGACTGCAATCACTAGCTGCTTGCAAGCTGGCAACACTTTTGCGTTTTTTTTAATGAACTATCATTTGACTCCATCTTCAGAAGTTAAAGACTATATTATACTATGGTCATGTCGATTTAGTCTTCATTGTTAACCTACTTTAACAAATCTAAATTTCCATCCCTATTACAACACAACAAGGAACTGACATATTCGACCCCACCTACGTAAAGTATTGCATGTCGAAATTGCCAAGTTTACAGGGGAGCTTTTTAAAATTCTGAATTCACTGAAAGAGTGATCATCTAATAGGTCATATAACCGACATCTAGGATTTTATAATACTCTATGTGAGTAACGAGTTTTGCCGAATAAAACTGAGAAATGCTAAGGTTACGTGTTATTTTCATTTCAATGAATTCAGAACTTTAAAACGCTCCCCTGTAAACTTGGCAATTTCGACATACGCTACTTCACGTAGGGGTCGATATATGTAAGGCAGTAAAAGCGTGAAACGTACCCGATGGCAGCAGCGAAGCCCTGTATGACCTCACTATATTGTCTTTACTCTTCTTCTCTACATTCTATACATATTATCTATTCTATACATATTGTCTTTTTATCATGTTAAATAAAATATTTTGATTTTTTACTAATTTGGCGCACACTGATAACTAACTTAAATTGGAATGTTATACTTATAATATATTATGTATACAACATTAAAATACATTTATACAAACATGATTCGACAAAATATACGCTCAGTTTCATATACATTTTTATTTTGTTCTGGGAAGACTCAATAAAGCCTTTGTGTACAAATATATAACTATAGGATCGGAGACCCAATGTTATTAAGGTGCTTTTAGAGATCTGAACAGGCAGAGTACATTTTAAGCTATGGCCACACAGAGGCGGTAGCGGGAGCGTTCCGGGCGCGGGAATTTTTGTAATGTTCGAGTTCTTATGAACCCTGCCACATTGAAATCGGGCCGCGTGGTCCGGGTCCGAATCATAATCAACCATAAGGCGAACGCGGGGCGGATAGGGGCGTGCGAGTTGTATTCCATCTAGTTCTATGCAACCGTTCATACAGAGCGGTAGCGGTGAACCGATGTCCAGGAGCGGGGCTTTAGCGGGCTTGAACGTTATATTTTTTATAACTCTTGGCTGTTTTGATTCAGTTTCGAAATGAATACGACAGAAATTGTCTAGTTGTTGAAGAGCGGATACCTCTGACACAAGTATATCTTACTTACTAGAGAACTCCAACCACATTATTGTACCTACCATGATTTTTGAAATGAAAACAAAGTTATATTACGACCATATTGTATTGTAGTTACCAGATTAAAAATCTAATGAAGATAAACAACAATTGACCATCATTGAACAATTAAGTAGTTGAAGTCATAAAAATTCCCTCATTTGTAGAATTACCCGAAAACCAATAAGCTATGGAAATAAGCCCACTTAAATAGAAAAAAAACCTAATGTAATAATAATAAATATAATAATATTCAATAGTAGGAAAACATATATTTGTTAAAGCGTGAACACACAGAAAGCAGGTGCGGGTCGGGTCGGGACCGCGGCGGGTCTAATCCCGCCCGGCTCGCGTCCGGAGCCTAGACATAGAGTTTTGTCATATAAAGCTGGGGGCATACTTGCTTGGGCCTGAAGTATGTAATTTATTTAGTACATTTTATTGCACATTGGCCGTTTAGCACTTTTTACATTGTACTTTGCTGGGACTTAGAGGCAATCATATCCATGTCTATATAATAAACGCGTAATAGAGATTTTAAAAACAGTCCGACACCGATATGGCGCTTTCTTTAAAATCTGTGTTGAAAATGAAGCGTGGTTACGCTTTCGGTGTCACACTGGCTGCCTGGCACGCCCCGGTACGCGTGCGGAAGCGAATGCTTCCCGTTTTTCCAGCTGTGCCGCGTCTGTGTGACCTGAACTTTAGTGATGCATCTGCAAAGTGGGATGCGCGATAGGAGCCTCCTTTTCTGGACATCTGGCGCATGCTGGGCAACAATCCCCGAGTACTTTACACTGATTGGCAAATCTTTTCAAAGTCAAAGATTATTTATTCCATAGGTAAAATAAATGTACACTTGAAAAAGTCACATTTAAGCTACTGCTCGTTCACTACGCTGACCTCTCTGAGAAGAACGAGCAAGAAATTCTAGGGATTGCTCTTTTCAAATAAACTTAAATGCTATGGAATACACTTTGAATCAAATTTGTGTGGATTCTAGAGCCATGTCGCCTTTCCATACATCTTTATCTAACACGTAGTCTTCAATCAACTCTGGCAAGCATTGTAATGTATGCCATCGACATTATAAGAATACTCCACCTCAATATTTTAGAAAACGTGGTGAAAAGCAATTTAATTATGTATGTGGGAGAGAAGTTTATAGAGATTAAAATTCTCATGCCGGTTCAGGTTCTTTCTCGTGCGTTTTTCGCTGGCCAGCGTCGGCTGGGTCACAGCGTAGAAATCTGACTTCCGCGCAAAGGCGTTCACGAGTCATCCGCTTTGTTTTGGTAGCTGCTCTGTGATTGGCTAGTGGTGCTGTCCTCCGCAAACGTTCCCTGTTGCTTGCATGGAAATATCAAGCTTGCTAGATATCAATGTCACGCAACGTAAAGAAACCCATCGCAAAGCAAACGGCCGGCGCAAACGAGCGACTCGTGAACAGACCTACCTGCGCGCACGCGACATATCTTTGCGCATGCGCATCGAGTCACGTAAGCAAGCGAGAAATGCAAGGGAAAGACTCGCGAACCCGACATTACACAAACGTTACAGTACATTTAGGAAAATGTTATTTATGTTAAGGAAAATATTTTTTTTTTAATGAAAATTAGTGACAAACACAACATTAATACGAGGAATAAAAATAAACTAGCTGTTCTTCACAGTCGTCTTCATAGTATCAAATTCATTTAGGGGGCAATGTGTACGCTTCCATAATAAGATTGATATGCAAAATTTGCCATTTACGAGGTTTAAAACTATTGTAAAACAAAAACTTTATAATACAGGTAACAAAACAAAAATCCGTGGTACTGACCCGCTTTTTAGCTCTTTCACATATTCTCGATCAAAGATGTTTAAATTAATTATTGTATTGATAAATATATTCAAATGTATATTTACAAAGACCAACCGCTAGAGTTTCTTGCTCATTCTTCTCAGGGGAACCTGCCTTACGAATGAGCAGCAGAGTTTAATTGGTATGACGATTTTAAAGTGTAATTTGCTTACCTATGAAATAAAGATTATTTCATTTCAATGCGCAGTGGACCCTCGCGAGAATTGCAGCCCAAGTACCGACATTGTGAGAAGAGGCCTATGCCCAGCAGTGGGACTGATATATAAGGCTAACTATATAGTATTATTTGTCATAGTAATGATCACGCCCATCAGACAATCTAAACGCACCTTAATTTTCCTATCACACGGTTTTTGCTCCGATTGCGTTTTATATGCTTTATAGTGCTTGTGACTATAAGGTGTTTGCTAGGTAACTTGTAACTAAAAAAATAATAATAATAAAAATAAATGATTGATGAATTTATTACTTCTGATTAAATTGATTAAATATCTTAATGCTCTCAACGAAATTATATTGATTCACAAGACAAATAAATTAATTCACAAATTAATAATAATAATTGATTGATTAATTTGTTTTCATAAGTGATTAAATTAAACAATTAAATACGTGATTAATTTAACACAGCACTTGATTAGTGTTATCTTGTCTATGGGGTGCGGTAAAAAACGCATGCGGAGCCAAACTCGTTTAACAGAAGAAAAAACATTGCCTTAAAATCCATTTAAATCTCACAAATATAAATAATTAGTTTAAAATAGGCACGCACATTCAATTGACTGCCTTAGTCAATTTTTTTGGTTTTCGGCTTCCTGTCCTCGCCTTTAGGCCTGGAGGGGTAAATCACGAACAGAGACAGCTGAATTGCGCACAGGATTAAAGCTACGACATTTTGAATCTGAAACAAAAAGAAAGAAGGGATTATATACAGTTCATAACAGCTTAAATAATCTTTACGTAACGTAGTTGTGACACGGTTCATAAAAATCATCGAGTATATAACCAGAAATAGAGACGAAATAAGGGCGATCATCCCTGGCAACTCATTAGGCAAATGGGTTTTATATCCGTTTTAAATATTAACTCTCGTTTGCGCTGAAATCACAAATTAGAAAGATGAAATAATACAGCGCCAACAACTCACCTGTGTGTACGTCTCCGTATATTCCAAAAATATTCTGTATTTAATGTAATAAAGGCAATATCTTTAACAATGGAGGGCTGTTCCATTCGGTGATGTGGAAAAAAACATCTAGTTACAAAACAAACGGAATCACATTTCCTCGGTAATTAAATATTAAATATGTAATTTTTCAATTTTCGTCCATTATAGCAAAACTCAATTTGAAGTGAAAGAATAGACAATACCCGTCAATTGTTTCGAATTCGGGCTGGTCAATCAGGGCGCTGTTGTCACCATAATGATTTGGCAGAATGACATTTCGTCTCCATTTCTGGTTTTAATATTCGATGATAAAAATGTTTACACAATGAAACGTGTACAAGCTGGAAGATATTATCTATTATCCAGTAACAGCTTATCATTACGTAATGTTATCGGTACTTTATGTCCCGACACTTGTCATTAAATAACGTGATCATTATTTACGTGGTTGCTAAAAATACTCATTACAATGACACGCGTACGAGCCGGAAGATTGTCTATCATCTATAACAGCTTGTCATTACATAACGTTATCATTGTAACAAGGTTGATAAAAATACTCCCTACCATGAAACTCCAAGCCGAAAGGGATGACCTACCGTCCATAACAGCTCATCATCAGTAACACAGTTGCTAAAAAAACTCACTACCACAAAACATGTACGAGCCGGAATAAATTATCTATCATTTATAACTGCCTACGTGGCCGAACGGTTACCATGCCGGACTGCCACGCAGAGGTTCCAGGTTCGATTCCCGGTCCGGGGGAAATATTTGTATGGCCTACATTTATTTCTCTCGTGAGTTTGGGTGTAATTTGTGGTTATCTGTCGGTATGTCCATGGAACCCGCGACACAGGGTTTCCCTAATGCGGGGCTATGTTGAGTGTGTGCGTTATTATTATTATATAACTGCTTGTCATTACACGTTATCATGGTAACAAGGTTGATAAAAATACTCATAACCATGATACGGATACAGAGCCGGAAGGAATTACCAACCATCTGTAGCAGCTTATCATTATGTAACGTAGACGTAACACAGTGGATAAAAATACTCACAATCATGAAGTGGTTCCTAAGTATAATGCCGTAAAGTAGCCACGAGGACGTAACCACGGTTCCCGACAAGATTATAGGGAACGGCATACCCTCTGTGCTTTGCTTGGCTACTATTTCTCGCTGAAACAACAATAGGTTAAATTTTTAACTGTCTCCGTGGCCGAACGGTTACCATGCCGGACTGCCACGCAGAGGTCCCAGGTTCGATTCCTGTGAGTGTGTGAGTTATATAAATATTAATACAAAGGTCGAACACTTTAAAAAATCCTTCGAACCGACGTCTACTAGCAAACCGTGTTAGACGCTATGCCAACTAGGCCACGGAACGAACCAGCGGACCTCACGAATTTTTCTATGTGCTTGTTGTCGGATTTTTGTATTTGGTTTTCAACGACTTTTTAGTCGTAGCGCCATCTACGATAGTATTTCGTCACCCAGTTAAGATACCTTTACAGCTATCAGCCCTAGCTAGGGATTTTTTTTAATATCAAGTGACGGGACGAACAAGTCGCGTGTCTGATCCTGACACGCCTGTCCATAACAGTTACAGTGCCACTCAGAGCTTTAAATCGCAAAGATTTGAGGGGTACTGCCTCTGCACCCGTCACCCTGAGACATAAGTTGGCAAGTCCCATGTGCCTGTAATTTCACCAGCACCCTTATCCTTCAAAACTGGAACACAGTAATGCTGCATTACTGCTTGGCGGCAGAAATAGGTAAGATGGAAGTACTACCCTGGACGAACTCTTTCACAAGGAGCTCTATTGCTATTACTACTGTTTGTCTAGCTATGACTAGATGTCGTTATTAACTGTATTTAAATTTTTTTATTGAATTGATATTCAATCGTTTTTGTGAAATTACTCCACTAGTTTGTTATAATTATTAATACAAAGATCGAATACTTATAAAAAATACCTTCGATCCGGCCGGATTCCAATCGGTCGCTAAAAATATATGTATAATGATCCAATAAATGAATTCCATAATTTGTCACCCTTAGATATGTAACATTTTCGTCAAATTTGTACAGAACCACTATTGAGATATCCCCTTTCCAACAGAAAAAGAACCATCGAAATCAATTAAAAAATTTGACAAAGGTGAATAGATGACAATAAAAAATAAACTTACAATGCCAAAGAGTGGCTCGCCGATTAAATAGAACATCAGTACGGTGATAATGAGACCGAACCGGAACTCAATCAGGTTGGGGTCTTCATATTGAGCATATCCCAGCAGCGCGGCCGCGACTGCGCCACTTAGACCTAGCGAGCCCCAGACCTTTTGCTGAAAAATAAAGATCATTTTTAAGATATTTAACAATAATAATAATTACTATTTTTCGGTTCTGACTGAAACTCAGTTGAACTGATAGGTAATTTTGCTGACCTTCGTATTCGACTGGCTTGCACATCGGTTTTCGTGAAGTCGCCATCTTCGAGGACCCGAGTTCGATTCCCGGCCGGGTCAATGTAGAAAACTACCTTTTCTATGTATATTGTTTCGTTTTATAAAAAATACAAGTACGCGTATGATCTCCAACTCATCTAATGGAAAGCGACGATGAGGTCGACGATGGAGCATGTACACCTAAATAATGCCTATTTATTCTCGCCTTGAAAGGCAAAAATTATACTTCAGGGAACAAGTCTGCAAGCAGGGAATTCCACTGCACAACCGTTCGCCATATAAATGTGGAAGCGTAACATATCGTGCGATTTTTGGAATATCCACAACAGGGGTGGAACCCAAACCTACGTCTAGTCCCCCCGTGATGGAAAGGGGAAAGCGATTAAAGTGTGTAATTCTATCGCACACTCTCCGTGATATATCCTGTAGAATACCGATAAGCAAGCAACTTTACGGCGGTGTTCAAGGCTTTGCAGTTTCTACTAATTCCAGATTATCTCGGGTCTGTGTGTTTGTGGCACCGTCGTTGTTTCCGATGTCCATAATGCAAGTGCTTTAGTTATTTAGGCTGGTTTCACAGCTGTGTTAACACAGAGCGTGTTCCGTACGGAGCAATCCGCGTCACTGTAAAACGGTGTTCTAACGCCACACGTGTTACTCTGCTCCGGTGCTCCGCGCGGTCAGTCAGCAGATAAATCTGCACTGTTCTGAAACAGGTCTTACTTTGGGATCAGAGCAACATATGTGATTTTGTTTAATATATTAATTGCCTCCGTGGCCGAACGGTTACCATCCCGGACTGCCACGCAGAGGTCCCAGGTTCGATTCCCGGGCCGGGAGAAACATTTGTCATACAAATTTACATTTACTTCTCTCGTGAGTTTGGGTATATTTGTGGTTGTCTATGTGTGTGTCCATGGCACCCGCGACACAGGGTTTCCCTAGTTTATATTTATGTTTACGATTAAAATAAACATCCGATGATTTCGCTTAAAAATACTCGTTTTTTTTACATATCAAAATGAAACCTTTTATTGAGATACCCCATAGTTGTTGTCGATACTTTTATCGATAGATTAAGAAAGAACATAAAATTTTGCCAAAAAATGACTGAACTTTGAATGTTACGACGTTCGAACAGTTATTAATTGCGTTATTGCCTTCTTTATTCCTATTTTGACAATTGGTTATAGTAACGAGATATTGTATTCATATATATTTTAACAATAGCCGACTTTGATTATCTATATTGAATAGAAATGAAAATCTTTAAAATATATCTCCTCTTTGTATTTTTCATAAACATAGTTCTAAATACAGTGTATGTATGTATGAACAGAAATTGACAATTCAAATGAACTTGTGAACTGTAATTGGATGAATGAAATGAAATAAGTCTGGCTGTTTGTTCCATAAGCGTAACCAACATTCAGTCGATAGTCGATAGAACATTTATTGACTAGAAATTACTAGCTGCTCGTAAGCGGGTAACACTTTTGCGCAATGAGCTGTCATTTTTCTCCATCTTCAAAAAAGACAGAACAGGCCTACCGCTAAACCGAGTCGTTCCTAAGGTACCTGCGCAGTGCTGGAGGTGTGATAGTTTACGTAAGGCTCAACTCGCACTGGCCCAGAGCTGAAGCCTCGCGACGCGTCATGTTTTTCGCTTATAGCATATTCATCTCCATTTTCCCATAATTAAGATACAAATTTGTGTTATGCAAATATGCGCGTCGACGTCGCACGACGACGCGTGTCGTCATGCGTTCTAGTAGAAAAACAGGACGCGACGCGACGCTTCGACTCTGCGCCAGTGTGAGTTGAACCTAACAATTACGTCGCGTAGTACTCGAGATGGTGTCAAAAAGATTTTTCTGACGATATTTATTAACAAGTAGATAGCAAAAATGCCTATCAAATTAGCCAATTGTTGTTATGTAAAAAGATAATAAAAAAACTATTAGAATAGAATAGAATATAATTATTTATTTCATATTATCAATGTCACAATATTACTATTAAAAATACAATGCCAAGTTCGTTTCGTCTTCGTTTCGACCAAAGATAAAGATATATTTTATGGTTCAAAACCATAAAATGTTATTGTTTGTTGTGGTTTATGTGTTTGCAACGACTTGGATTTTTATCTCTTAAGTTACAAATGTTACATAAATAAACACACTAACCTTTTCACTGGAATAGTGGTAATAGATCATCAAGTAGATAATGTTGAGTGCGGTACCAGCAAAGCTCACCCGAATGATGTTGTCGTCACGTAAGATGAAGCCGTATTTCAAATTTAATAAGGCCCTGAAAGTGATAGAGTAAAAGTGACTTTCAATGCTGTGACTTGTTTCAACTGTGACTTGATCAAGCTTGAGCCTTACCTACAGCACTTTGTCATAACATTACGTTATGGAAAATGTACACCAAAGATATATCACAAGACGTAACGTTTAGTTTTATCATGAACCCATAACTCAAAAGGACATCTAATCTCCGTACTACAGACTGTAACCGTTGAAAAAGGTCAAAATTCCACACACTCACACACTAACCTACACACTCAACATAGCCCCACACTAGGTAAACCCTGCGTCGCGGGTGCTATGGACACACATGTAGACAACCACAAATTACACCCAAACTCACGAGGGAAATAAATGTAGGCCATACAAATATTTCTCCCGGCCCGGAAATCGAACATGGAACCTCTGCGTGGCAGTCCGGCATGGTAACCGTTCGGCCGCGGAGGCAGTTATTCCGTCGTATATCTAGACATCGCTAATCAATAGCCTGGAAGTAGTTTACATTATGTAAATGGCCGTGAATGTCAATGAATTAATCTTTTATGTGAAATATAAGAAGTTAGCTTTTTTCCATTATAATATTATTCAAATATTGATCATGAGCTATAATTATTTTCTGAACTTTGACAAATCAACCCCTCCTACGTAAAGTATCGTATGTCGAAATTGCCAAGTTTACAAGGGAGCTTTTTAAAGTTTTGAATTGCTGAAATCATAACACGTGACTTGAGCATTTCTCAGCTTATTCGGCAAAGCTCATTACTCACATAGTTTTACATTACACTCACGAACAACCACAATTTATTATATTATATATTTATTATATAATTTTATACTAACGCAGATGTGGGTCAATAAGCGGGTAAACTAAAGTGAGACTGGGCGGGTCGGGTGACGGTATAAAATTATAAAATAAATTGTGGTTGTTTATCTAACCGATATCAAGGATTTTATAATACTATGTGTGAGTGTGTGAGCTTCGCCGAATATAACTGAGAAATGCTAAAGTCACGGGTCAGCCTGGAGATATAAGAAATGTATAAAGAAATATAAGACGGAAAGAAGGATGGCGAAAGCTGACCCAATAATTATAAAATCAACGATGAGCCAGCAGAGAGTTCATGGACAGTGCTAGTATAATTTTACGTTTTAGTTTAAGTTATCAATATATTTTTGTATATTTTTAGAAGTTGGGAATAAAGAAATTGCAAAATTGCAAAAAAAAAATGTATTTTAGAATAAATGCAAGAACACAACGCAATTGATTCAGTTTCGTTTCATTTTAAGCATGATTGAATGTTTACCTCCCTAAGGTATTGGTTATTTTATAGTAGACACGGCACACTTAAATCATTAAAGCTTTATAATACCTAATCAAATATTCAATTAAACGGTAATGATATAAAGTAAAAAATAAAACACAATGCGACAAAAATGTTTAGACAATATTTCAATAAGATAAGAAAGTTCTTCTTCTTCTTCTTTTACATGTTATGGCTCCATCGAAATAATGAATGATTTTGCCAATGTCAAGTAAAAATAACTATGTACGGTGTTTAATATTATTATAAAAATTATACAAAAAAAATGGCGATTTCGCCAATATTTATTATTTAAGTTTTCAGATAAGAAAGTTAGAACAGGAACATTTTGACATGAGCCTCTTGTCAATGTCAATGGCACATTGAGATTGAGTGTGACCATTTGTGGTAGATTTAATTTTCATTCATTTTCATTGCAGCAGAACATGTTAACGTTGTATGAAATGTAGCGGAGTTTGGAATATTCAGCAAGTTCTTTATTAAGTAGTAGTATTGTAATAGTAGTTGTAATGTAATGAATTTCTCTATGACATGTGATTTCAAAATTTTAGTTTTGTTCATTGTAATTATTATTATATTAGCTAATTTGAATTTAAATTTTTATTTTATTAATTGTAAATGTTAGTATTTTTAATTTTTACTTCCGACTAAATTATCATTATTATTTCAGTGACTATTATATTATATTATTTTGAATTTACGTTATGTTATTTATATTATGTATTTTGAATATTTTGACATTTCGATTTTAAAATTTTAATGTATAAATAAATTCACCGTACAATCATTTATTACTAATATAGTATAAGGTTGCTTACTAACAAACTATGGACCTATGGTGTCTGACAATAAAAGATTTTTATTTTTATTTTTATTTTATTTTTTTTTTATTATTTTTGGGAACAAACTAAAAATTTGTTGTTTTCTGCTACTAAGAACAAACATCTGACGCGAAATACAGCACAATGTTAGAACATAGCCTATATCAACTGTATAACCCCAGCTTCTACAGGCTGTATTCAATTAGCTTTTTTGATGCTTTGATAATGAATAACAAGTATTAACAGGCCTCTTTAATACACGTCGTCAAAAACACTGGGACACAAAATACACGGGATGTCGCCATCCTTCTTTGACCTCTTTCGGAGCTACGATCTGTATAGAGGTTAGTAGCCCCCTTGAGTTATTGGTCCATTTTTCTGGGTAGTGCCGCCGAGTAAATTTGTTGCTGCTAAAACCCATTGTTCGAGACCTGGTTGGTATGGATGTCTGACATATTATTATTACTACAACATTTTAAAGTAGTAGGTACTTACATAACAAGACCACCAGTGAAAGGCACTATTCCAACACCCTCAGTGTTACTCTGCTTATATATGTCGTAGCATAGGAAGCTTCCCGAGAACATTTGACCGATGGTGACAATCGCGGCGATGTTGCCCACCAAGTCTTGATACGGCTCCAGAATTAATGCTAATGATTCCATTTTTGTGTGCCTGGAAAAAGAACGGTAGAATACAAGTTTCCGAACTGCTGATGTGAAGCAAGTCTGTAACAGTAGCATAGGTTTAAATCGTAAAGACCTGAGCTGCTGTTTCAAACCAATACACTGTAAAATCTTGAATTAACAGCGCTCATGTGATTTCTCTAGGCAGGGCTCCGTCTCTCGCTCAAGGTTATGAGATAAGTCTTTACCGCTGAATGTACCGACGTATCGGTACAAGCGCTCATAGAGGTTTACATTTATGAGCATTCGTCTCCGCACGACTGCACACGGCGGGCAACGTTATATTCACCTCTCTGAGCGCATGCTTAGGTTCCTTTCCTCGTAGTGAGGGTCGTAGAGATGTCATTAGTCAGATTTAGTAGGCTATTACAGCGTAAGTATTTTCGATTTTGCATGAGAGTGATGTATCTGTTACGTAGTAACTATTAAGTAATCTGTGCTCTACGCTAAATCTATATTAATCTATATTTTAATATTTCAACTTTGGTGGTATTAGTGTTTTTGAATGAGATGTGAAAAGCTAAAATACACTATAAGTTTTGAAATGTAGAAATTATTTTGACGTAACACGGTATGCAGCAATACAATCTTTTGGTTTGAGAATTACGCGCGCGAAATACAGAAGATACAGTGTTGCGAGGCGCCTGAGTTAGCGAAAACTCTCAGATCGCACAAATGTCTCAGGAGCGGGGGTCTACTAACATTTGTCAAATTTTAACAATAAAAACGACATGCTATCGTGTCAAACCAAAACACTGCAAGGTTCCGTACAGGGTTTTGTAATTTCATAACAACAAGAATTCTAATAACTTTCGGTTGTTAACGAGGCAAAAGAAATTTATTAGTTTTTCAATATAAATAACTCACTTTCCAAAGTAAAATTATAATGGCTAGATAGATTTCTTTAATATCTATTATACAACATAAGTTAAATGTATCTTTTTACGTCATTAATTTTTTATTTTCTATTTTTTGAGGTTAATAAATTTTATTATCCTCAAAAATTAAAAAAAAACAAAAATCCTTTAAGCAGCTTTTTCTCAAAATGCTGTTTTGGACATTACCGTATTTTGGTTTGACACGGCATTGAGGAGCACTGCCACTGCCACATAACGTTGACGTCCCCTGTACCCGTACTTTCACAGCCACCTTTTTATTTTTTTGTTTACTTATATTCAGGTTACTAACATACATAACAATATAATAAAACACTAATTATTTATCTGCGACGTGTGACGCAACGTGGGTGTCCGGTAGCCGGTCTCGGAAACGTCGGTACATGACACCCTTCGGGCAAAACTCATCACTTCATGAAGGTCGACAGATGTTGAGTTGGTATTCTCACCACTAATGAATTAAAATTCACAGCGGTGGGCTCGACCCCCAAATTCTTAGTCTCGAAATTTTGTCCTTTACTTCAAAAAAGTTTCTACTACGAATAAACTTAATTTAAAATTCTAAAAGTTAAATTTAATAATAATAATAACTTTATTGACAGCCATTATAAATACTACAGAAATAATACAGTAATTATTAGTTATTTATGCTGATCAGTCAGGCAACATCCGGATCCCACAAAAACATTTAACTTGTGTTAGCAGATAGTACTGTCGCCGCCACGGCGCGGGCAAGAATCAATCGAATTTGTATCAACAAATGGCTCACAAGTACCTACACTAAAAGGAACTCTGTAGTCCCAAAACACAAGTACAATAAAACTGTTCATTTGGGAACCCGGAAAAGAATAAAATATGAGAAATATGTTCGAAGCTTAGAATAATAACGCATAGAATGATAGTTTCATATCAAACGAACTGTCACAAGTGAGGCAAAAATCAAATTCATGTAGGCTAGTTTTAGTAGTAGGTTAATTTTCGGTTTTAGTGAATATTTATATAAAAATACAAGTTGAAACGCGTTACTTCATTGTGGAACGTGATTTTACTATCTATTTTATGTTTGTCTGACGTATTTTTACACTCATTTACCGCACATTTCGTCATTTTTAGCTAAAATTCTTGATCTGTTCGCGGTGCAAGTTGACCTTGAGCACTGAAGGCCCCCCCGCTCGTGTAGGCCCTTTGGGCGCACTTCAATTTGCCTCACTTAGCGTGTGCGGACTAGGTTTCTATGCGTTACTATTCTAAGGTTCGAAGAGTTAGTACAGTTTAAAGAAGACTTAAACTTTGTTAGATAAATAAGTCGCAAAGTTGAGAGCAAGTGTAGAGTGGGTTGTGAGTGGTACTGATTCAACAAGGAGTGTATATAATATCTGAGGGAGGGACATTTTTGACAGTCCTTACCACACATCACATAAAAAGAAGTTAAGCATTGGATTTTATTTATTAATTATAATTTTACACTCACATGAGTTATAGGTAGCAGTAAGTTTACACAAAATATTATATTAAGTCATTTATAAGTAAGTTAAATCGCTATATTTTCTTGGTTTATTTCGATTTCGTCATTCTTTCACCCTCATTTTCTCACCCTCAAAATGTTCTGACTACCCTCTTCTTTTTCTTAAAATACATTTATATTGGAGACCACTATATGAAAAGCTATTTACATAAGTACCTACTATGAAATTTATAATAAATAAATGTCAATGCTTCCTAATATCGAAAGCACGAATTTCGGAATTACATGAGAACTACCCATATACTCCACAATATCCGCAGACTTTGTGGAGTAATAAAGCCATGACGTATAATAATGTTGTCAGTATGTCAGTATCTCTGGACGCTATAAATGACGGCGGCAGAAATAGGTATGGCGGCAGTACTTCCCTGGACGAACTGATTCACAAGAAGCTCTTTTATAATATTGTAAGCTGTACACCCCTCTCGGCTGTGCACCGTCCTTCACCACGTTATAAAAGCAGAACAGGTCCAGAGCAAGGCATGTGCTTGTCGGTGCCCGCTCGGATATCTTCGGTGACGTGAGGCATTTGTTAACGATTTTCTTATGTATTTTGTTACTTGTTACTATTTTGATTCTTATGTGATTTGATTTGACAAAGCGTTGTGAGCAATTGCGTAAGCACGATAAGACATCTTGTACTAAAAGATACTTTGTTCGTTTAGGCTTAAGAAAACAATAATTTGTAAATTTATTACTTAGAATAATAACGCATAGAATGATAGTTTCATATCAAACGAACTGTCACAAGTGAGGCAAAAACCAAATTCATGTAGGCGTAAGCAACTTGTATCTCAGCTCGTCGGCGCGCACACAAATATACAAATAATGATGCCATGGAATAACATTTCCCTCAAAAGTGGGAAAATTATATCTTGCGTAACTCATCATTAAGTTAAAGGTGCCTACAGATTTGCCCGATTTTGTCGATCGTTACTGTCGATCGACAATGTCAAGTGACAAGAATTTTTAAAAATTAATGTTTGGTAATCCTTATAGAAATGGCATTTATATCTGAATACACGATGACGGACTAGACTTTTCAAATAAATGCAATATGGGAGGCATTTTCGAGGTATTCGAGGTGCTCAGCTCATTATGAATATGGCACTCATTTCTAAATCCAAGCCCGCCATCTTGGATTTACAAATAGTGCCATATTCACATTGAGCATCCCCAAATACCTCGAAAATGATACCCATATAGCATTTTTTGAAAAATCGTGTCCGCCATCTTGGATTTACAAATAAGTGCTATATTCGTAATGAGCACCCCCAAATATCTCGAAAACGATTCCCAACTTGCCATTATTCGAAAAATCGCGCCCGCCATCTTGGATTTAGAAATGAGTGCCATATTCATAATGAGCATCCCCAAATACCTCGAAAAGGATACCCATATTGCATTTTTTTTAAATTGTGTCCGCCATCTTGGATTTAGAAATAAGTACTATATTCGTAATGAGCACCCCCTTAAACCCCGTAAACGATACCCAGAATCAAAATCAAAATAATCTTTATTTCATAGGTAAGCATTATTACACCAGAAATCGTCACATTATTTAAACTCTACCGCTCATTCGTAAGACAGATTCCCCCGAGAAGTATGAGCAAGAAACTTCAGGGGTTGCTCTTTGTAAACAACATTTGTATGCGTTTAACTTGCAGAAATGGAAGTCAAATGCACACTTACATTAGAATAAAAAAAAATCTGCAGCCGTCGCGATATTGCCTATTCTCAAAAAATTACGTAATATAATTATTTTGAAACAGAATTGCAAAATTGGGAGAAAGAAATCCGTTACTTGGCAACATTTTCGTGTCTTATTGCAACGAAATTAATTTTCGGTTTTAGTGAATATTTATATAAAAATACAAGTTGAAACGCGTTACTTCCTTGTGGAATGTGATGATAGTGTCTATTTTATGTTTGCCTGTTCTAGTTTTACACCCATTTACCGCACATTTCGTCATTTTTAGCAAAAATTTTTGAGCTGTTCGCGGTGCAATTTGACCTTGAGCACTGACAGCCCGCGCGCTAGTGTAGGCCCTTTGGGAAGCCTCTAACTTGCCTCACTTAGCGTGTGCGGGCTAGGGTTCTATGCGTTATTATTCTAAGATTTATTAAAAGTTCGTTAAAATTTTGTTAGATGTTCTCTTTTTTTTTTAATTTCGAATCCTTTTTCTAGCTAATTATATTATATAATAGTAAAATCAGTAACTCATCAATAGTAATTATGTTACTTAGGTAGGTAATGATAATGATCTCTATAGGTATATTATATATTTAATTACCTCTGCGCCGAATATCGATAAAACAATGTAATATTCATCGATAATATCGACATGTTTACTACGATACGTGTTTTGGACCTAGTCGTATAGCAGAGATAGTGTTTACAATATTAGATTTGTAAATGATAATTCTTAATTTGTTAAATATAATAATATAATTTATTTATTGAATGTCGTAATATTTTAGTACCATGAATTTTATATATTTTTAATGAAAATTTTCCACTACTTTGTATATTATTAATCTAAGTAAATGTAACGCATACACTCATAGCATTACACAAGGGAAACCCTGTGTCGCGGGTGCCAAGGACACACACATATAGAACACCACAAATTACACCCAAACTCATGAGAGAACTAAATGTA